TTGTCAAGCAATCCCAGATGGAAGCATGCCTCTTTGAATGTTTTATAAACCACTCCATTCACGGTTTTTAGATCATCAAAACATTGTGGACCAATCTGTGTGTTCAGAAGCACTCTTAAATAATATCCATCTTCCATACTTATTGGAACATAGTTGATTCTCCCAATGGTAGAACTTGGCCGTCTCTTGCGCAAGTTAAACTGTTTCCTCTTACTATCCCATGTAAAATGTTCCGGTATCTGCGCATACGTCAGTCCTGAAGCTATGGAGCTGACCTTATTCAATTCAAACCATGCTAGAAACATTGAAAGCACTAACTCTCCCTTATCCAGAACTGTTTTCATTTCATCATCTCCCTTAAAAAAAATGAGGTGTTTTCCTGGTAAATGGAATGATAACCTTTGAACTGATGTAGATCTGTAACAGATAGGATTTTTTAAAATTCTCCAGCCGGCTTCACATGCAGAAACATACCTGCATATTAAGTTATCATTAATAAGTTAAACGACTTAGTTGAATCAGCTTCCAATGAATTTTATGAAATTTTAAATAACCAACCTGCAGTCGAAGAAGTCTTTTATCTCGTTTGAATTGTTGCTATCCGTAGTATTCTTTGGTGGCTGCGTTTTTTTTTGGGTTGTCCTGGTTGTACTCTTGTCTTTTTCATTATCTTTCATAGCTGGCTCAACCACAACAGCGACACGATCTAGTCCTTTAGTAATATACTTGAATAAGTATTTGATAGAACCTGATTGATTGCACCACTCGACGTTGATGTGAGCCTTATATCTTAGTAACAGTACTTTGTTATATGGTATAACATAGCGATTGTCACACTTAAAACCTTTCTTTTCAACAAAGTGCTTAGTTTTCCTTCTTCTGTAAACTGGAAATCCATCCTTATCAACAGTAGTGTGGTCCACATTCTTCTTTGGGAAGAACTTTGAACATTTACCTTCTTCCATACATGGCGAATTCCTATTTATAGCACCACATGGTCCATGTATCATGCAATCTTTGACAATTTGGTATAGCTCTGGTTCTTTATTCTTATCTGGTATTTCAGCAGATATCATTTTGTCAATGTCCTCTGCTTTTGGCAACTTGTAATCCGGATGCATCCAAAGCAAGATGTGAGCATGGGGTAGTCCTCTTTTCTGAAATTCTATTGTATACATTGCTGGACAAAAAAAATATAGTTAGAAAGACATTCTATAATATTCAGTATAAGAAAAGAATAGTATAGATATGAACTTACACGATACAGTTTTCCCTAAGATGTGTTTCTTTGTCAAATCATCCATCAGAGAATTTAGCTT